TGTGATGGACTGGAGACCTGTCCAGGTGACCCTGTGATGGACTGGAGGCCTGTCCAGGTGACCCTGTGATGGACTGGAGACCTGTCCAGGGTGTCCCCCGCCTCTCGCACAGTGACTACTGGTTATGAACACCAGTGACCCCAGCCACCCGAAAAGGAAGAAGCAGGTAAAAGATAATGGATGTCTGTCTGTCTGTCTGTCTGTATGCATGGATGAATAAACCCACATTTTATTCAAACAGAAACAAAGTAAACATTTCAAATGTTCATTATCTTCGAATTTTGTGCTTTACAGGTTTTCGAACAACATGCGCTACCATGAAGGCGACGTCTCTTCCAGGGAAGGCTCTGCATAATTCAGCAAGACATTGCAGACTGTACTTGTTACAACAGCACAAGAGTCCAGGTGCTGAAGTGGCCTGCCTGCAGAGCAGACGTCGCTCCAACTGAGAACATTAGCTGCATCATACAAGAAAAACTTTCCACAAAGAGGAGCCAGGACAACTGAAGAGTTAGAATCTTCCATCAGACCAAAGTGGGACAACGTTCCCTCCAGGAACTCCAGAACTCAGTTCCTCCACGTTGAGGTACGTGGACCTGGAACAAGCTTTTGAGATGTGTTTGCTGCCATCAAATTCAAAATGTCCCTTTTTCTCCAAAGAAATGAAAAATGTCTTAGTTTTAGCAGTTGCCATGTTCATTATGCTCCACGGTGAATAAAATATGGGTTTATGAGATCTGACAATATTTTACACATGAACTCTTTCGGAGTTGGGCTCGTACAAAGTGAAATTGATCGTCACGGTTTATAAAGTGAACAAAATATTCAGGTTGAGGTTTTAGTTAGTTTTAGCTTTTTTGTTTTCAAAATGCAACACTTTACGAGTTGTTTAGTTTTGTCGTCAGTTGAAATAAGAAACACTAAATAATCTTTGGGACTGTGTGCTAAATAATAACTAAAAACAAAAAGTAGCACCGTTACCGTTTCTGAGGAGACAGCATCTCTGAATGTCTTCTAAGGACATCAACAGTTGTAATCTGTTCTTACAATTTTGGTTGTTTTATAAAGAAAATTCTCAGTATTCCCAAGTTACTTGATTTAATCCTGATACATTTCCAGAAGTATTTGTGTAATAAAACTTCAGTTTTAACGTGAGCTGCAGTAAAAGTCGGGTACAGACCTTGGTTTCTGGGGCAGTTTGAGTCTGAAGGGCGAAGACGGCGTTGGTAAAGGACAGGTTGTTTTCAGCGTAGAGGGTGTAGAGCAGAGTTACTGAGATGCAGAAAAAGCTCACGCAGAAGAATCTGCGACGACACCTCCTACGCCACGGCATGTTGACTGGGTCCATCACCACCAGAGCTGAGGAAGGAGACAAGGAGGTTGCAGGAAAATGATCAACGGGATCTCTGAAAGACGGACAGAATCATTTCTTTGGCAAAAGATGGTCTAGTGTCTTCTGTGCTCGAGAAAAAAAGTAACGTATAGTTAGGCTACGTAACGCCTGCGTCACCTGACAGGCAGGCAGTCTGTCTGTCTGATGGGGAGGTCAGCAGTGAAGGAGCACCGCAACAAATCCTCCATTCCTGTTCATCTCATCACCAATTTCCACCACAACTCTGGAGCAAACTACTCAGACACTTTCTCAGATGTTTTACTGAGTGAGGGATGAGAGGGAAGACTTTGTGGAGTGGACCAGACAGTAGAGAGAAAGACAGTTCTACAACCACCGAGAATCATGGGAGGATGGACGACAGACAGACTGGACTGGAGGTCCCACACCAAAGCTGAATGCAAGAAGGTGGAAGCTGAGCTCCTTCAATTTGTGCAACGCACAGTTGGTAGAGCTGCCGCCTCTCAGCGAGAGGGTTGCTGGATAAAATCCTGGCTGAGAACCGTTCTGGGTGGAGTTTGCATGTTCTCCCCGTGCTGCATGGGTTTCCTCCGGGTACTCCAGTTTCCTCCCACAGACCAAAAACATGCATGTTAGACTGACTGGTAACTCTAAATTGTCCCTAGGTGAGAGAGAGAGAGTGAATGGTTTTTTGTCTCTATGTGTCCCTGTGATGGACTGGAGACCTGTCCGGGGTGTCCCTGCCTCTCACACAGTGACTGTTGGATATGGACACCAGTGACCCCCGCAACCTGAAAAGGAAGAAGCGGGTAAAGATGATGGATGGATGGATGTTGGAGCTTTTCTAGCATTCTGCGGTCAAGTTGAGTTAAATACCATTTATCGTCAAAAGATATTCTTCACTGCCCTCCAGTGGCCAGTTTTGTCACTACAACCTCCCATCAGGTTCAATGATGCTCAGTCAGGACATCTGGACAGATGTTTTTTTTTTTTTGTAGAGACGTTTCACCTTCTATCCAGAGGGCTTCATCTGTCCTATCTCCAGCAAATTGTTTGGTCCACTTAAGGAGTTTACTGCTTGGTGGAGAGACAGTTTACTTGGAACTCCTCAGACTGATGAAGCCCTCTGGATAGAGGGTGAAACGTCTCTACAAAAAAGAATCAGTCCAGATGACCTGACTGAGAATTTTTGGATTTGGTACCTGCATGAATGAGCATGAACTTTGTCTCCTATCAGGTTAATGTGTCAAATATCTATTTAATTAAATGCATAATGGTGCTTAAATGGCTGCATATCACCCACTGCCTTTCGTGCCAGAGTTTTTGACTCCGACCATCTTCAGCTGAGGGACGGCAGAGCTGCAGTTGTTGTGGTCACACCTGGAAGATAACGCTGACAAGCAGGGATGGTTTTGTGCAGCGAGTAGCCCTCGGAGTATTTGTTGTGAATGAATCTCAGCTACTTCCTCACCAAACTTTAGCTCAATCGATAAAATCACAACCGTTTTTTTTCTGTTTTCTAAGGTGAGTTAGCTGTGGCGGCCATCTTGAATTAAGTTGGCTCCAACTGTAGATGGATCATTCATTTCCAGAAAGTTTCATTCAAATACATCCATTTGCTCATGGAACATTTTGTTAACAGAGTTGACTGCAAACTGTTACCGGTCTATTAGTGCTCAGAATTTTTGTTAAGGATCACTCTTAGACACCAAACCAGATTTTGGGTCATTATCTGTAAAATTATCTGAATTAAAGCCTGTGAGGGTTTCTGATGATCAGCTGGCTGTGGCAGCCATCTTAAATCACTCCAAACTGTCTTGTGTTTCCAGAGACGAGAGCAAAAACATTATGCAGCCCCTTCTGAGGGTGATATCAGCTACTTTTGGTGAGACAAAATGACAGGTCTTCAGATCTCACGACCATCTGGGTTTGTTTAGTTTTGCAGCCATTAATCACGTGAAGAGTCATCAGAGTTAGATCTACTTTAATGGTGTTAATAAAAACAAGTGTTACTTAAAAATATATGTTCAACTACAGCTTAGGTTAGAGGGTATGCCTCAGTTAACAGCTGATCATTATGATCAGCTGACATCAGTTTACGTGATCGTTGTTCCCGTCTGCTGTAACTAAGCACAGAGACGTCTCTTCGTCCTGAAATGTTTAGAAACCTGACGTGTTCT